AGAGGATTCACCAGAGACAGAGTGGGGAGCAGAACAGGCAGATCGACGAAGTACACTGCTGAGGGGAGCAGCGGGTGGGCCAGGAGAGGTCTGCCACATTATGTGGACACCTCCGGGGCAGGCGGGAATCGAACTCATGAGGAAGTGGCTTTAGCTTCTCAGTGCTGTGCTTTAACCCGCTGCGCCACCAGGGAGGGCCCTGTATCACCTTTTTATGGGTGAATAACCCTTTCACTAGGAGTTTGTTTCTCTATCAAAGGCTAATTTCTCACCTCCCACCCCTAAAATTTTACAAAAGCAAAAATAACAAATAGGCCCTCTCTGGTGGCATAATGGGTTAGGAGGCACCACTACAAGCTAGCTACAGATGCATCTGTATGAGTTCAATCCCCACCCCGGAGGTGACCACATGGCGCAGCAGACCTCTCCTGACCTGCCCGCTGCTCCCCTCAGCAGTGTACTTCGTCAATCGGCCTGTTCTGTTCCCTGCTCTGTTTCTGGTGAATCCTCTCACTGGCCCTGAACCTCTGGCCTGTATCTTAGTTTTGTATATTTAATAAATAATAATAATAATAAAATTGTTTAAAAATAAACAATGGAATTTTAAACAATGGAATTATAAGAAACTAAAGCTTCTCCATAGAGAAAGAAACTACCATTATGATAAAAGATCCCTTACCACGTGGGAGTCCTTCACCCCCTAGTCAAGCTTTCATGTAACTATACTCCCAATAGACAGTTGATTACAGTCCAGTGATGGAATCTGAGCTACAACTTCCTAGCTATGTTACTTCTGAAAATTAAAAAAAAATAATATAATAGTTTATTTTTACATCATTTTGTGCCTTCCCAGCTATGTTACTTCTGAAATTTTAAAAAATAATATAAATAGTTTATTTTTACATCATTTTGTTCCTTTTCCCATCTCAGTTGTAATCCCCCTGGGCTTCCCATCACCAAATCCTACTTCTGAATTTTTGATTTAAATAAGACATAAGATGATATTTGTGAGTTTAGGTCAATAGTTTTGGGGTAATTTGTTAATCAGCAGTAGAGGTCACTACTGAGGTCTTCATCCAAGTGTGAACTGAGCATTTTTATATATGCAATGAACAAAGTTAGTAATTTTTTAAAAAGGAATATTTTACAATAGCAGTAATAATATAAAAATTGGCAAAAGTTTTATAAGACATCCATGGCGAAAATGACAAAAATATATTGAACTATAACAATATAATAGAGAGGTCTATGAAATGATTAGTAACATGAAAACATTTATTAATACTTTGTGCAATACCAATTAAAACTAAGATACCAATAGGTTTTTATTTTCCCAAAGGAACTTAACAAATTGCTTCTAAAACTTGTGTGGAAATGGGGAGTCCCAGGAAAAATCAATAATCTTCT